CACAATATCTATTTATAGTTATACCACAAACACACTCTAAAACACATACATTTAATGATAAAAACTCGCGAGGTAGGATGAACTCGCCAGCTAAGGTGGGATCTTTGCGGGCAAATTTCGCTGGCAATGAGGAACTCGTGAGCTGGAGGTGTTTCGCGAGCAAATTTCACGGGCAATGAGGAACTCGCGAGCTGGAGGGCGATTTTCGCGGGCAAGTTTTGCGGGCAATGAGGAACTCGCGAGCTGGAGCTCACGAATTCATTTTCCCGGGCGTGAATCCCATGCGCTGGACTTGGCTTCAGCTCGATTTGCTCTAACTTCTCGCACGGTTACCCGATTGACTTGAAATTTTGATCCACTTTCCTCAAATATCTCGGGTGACTTTCCGACATTTTTCAATAAATTTATTGCCGACTTTCCGGAACATGCTTTCCCTACAAAATAAAAGGTAAAAAGAGAAATAAAAAGCACAAGACACCAAAACGAAACGAGAACACAAAAACGAACAAATACGACTAAATGAACCGAAAAAAACCTAAAATAAAATAAAACGAACACAAATGAAACACACAAAATAACTACAAAAACATACAAAACAATAATGTGATCATCATAAATCCCAACATTGTATACGTACATGAATATATATATAAATATAATAATTTATGTAAATGTATTTTGTTGAGTAGTGAATATTCTCTCCGTTTTGTTACATCTCTCACATTTTTTTTTAAATATTTCAGTTTCATTCAGTCTGTCACTTTTGAGAAAATCGAGATGAATTAATTGCATTTTTTTTTAACTCAGAGAAGTATTTATATTAATCGATTTATTTAGTTATTTTATTGAAACATCTAGCATATTTTGAAATATATGTTAAATAATCTAACATGACATGCATTAAAAAAAATAGAGGGAACAGTTGGTATTGCATTAGCTCCTTTGACAAATTAATTGAATTAATTTGTTGACCTAAAGCATTTGGTAGGTAAATGTTAGTAGATATCTATTGGAAATTGTAAAATTATTAAGTGCATTGATACAATTTATTGTTTGGTAGATTTTTGTTGATGTTATATATGGTGATCTATTGAATATTTAGGACAATATATAACTCATCCTTAAACAATAGTACTCGATCTCGTACATGTATACACATGTAAACAAAATATTATAAGTTCTGAATATTTATATGATATTAAAATTATAAATGTAACAGTGGGATCATATTTTAAAAATTTGATAACTAGTAAAAATGACTAGTATAAAACTATTTAATTATATATGAATCACTATATTGATTGAATAAAATGTGATGAATAGTTTTTATAATTTTGAGTGATCATTAACACTTAATTAATTAAAAAAATATTTAAATTATTATTATAGTAATTATATATTCAATTTTAAGGGGTTTGACTATTTTATTAAAATAAATTAGCCATTATTTTTAAAAGTCGCTTAATGAGGTACCCAAAAAAAATGATAATATATAGAATAAAAAATTGCAATTTAATTTTTTATGCTTATGTAATTTCACATATCATTTTGTGTGAAATACTATTAGTAGTTTCAATAATAATTAATATTATATGATTTTATAGTTAAAAAAATATAATTACTACTTAATTAATATAAAATATAACAATATGTTATCATAACTAATCCAAAAAAGAGCGAATTTTATTTTATTTTTGAATTAATATATATATACACATATATGTATATATTACTTAATTAATATGGTCCAAAATACCAAACAAACAAGTACACAATCTTTTCAAAATGATGCTTTTCACATTATTTTTCAAAATCANCCGAAGGATGAACAACTTTACAAGATTTAACCAATCAAACTTTTAAATTTTACCCCAATCGAGTAATAAACAATTAGGGACCATATATTTCGAAAGATCCGATTGTACCTCCTGCAAATTGATACTAATCTAAAAGAGCAGCAAAACTCTTTAATGCCCATTAATGTTTGGAGATTGACTTAAGAAAAAATAGTTGAGCCTGATATATTATTGGCAATTAGTTGCCCATGTTCTATAAAATAATTTCAAGAAAAATATCGACTTGTATGGACCCTCTTTTAACCGAACATATGTATAACCTTGTGAAAATATATTTACCACTTCATCTATACCACATCACAGAGGCAACTACAAAACAAACTTGTTTGAAAGGTAAAATATTCCAATATAAATTTTAATGGATATTATTATAACCACCCTTGAAAAATTCAGAAAGATATTGAAACGGAGAGAAACACTAAATATTCTATTGCAAGCAAATTTATGATGGAATTTTAATTGGATTTCTATGAATACAAGAATAATTTTTTTTAATAGTTTATTTGTTGTAAGAACTTCTGTTGGAAAAAAAAAATATCGATAATAATTTCTACCGTTAGAAAATATAATTTTAAAAATTATTGTTGGAAGAACAGTCAAAATTTAATGAGAGTTCCAACTTCCATCGGAATAATATTTTGATGAAATTTTTCAATAGAAGCTTTAACATTGGAATACTATTTAATTTTTTCATTGAAACATTCCGTTTGAATTTAATTATTTTCTTGCAGTTTTCACATTAATGTTATTTTAAAAATAATGATGATACATATATATAGGTAAATGTAATAATAGTAATAGCAATCATCAATATTAACACATAACCAAGATCTACTTCACGATAATAAGATATAAAGGCACAATACAAGCATGCAGCCCATGCGTGATCCAAACATACAAGTTTTAGGACCTCGCAGTTAAAATAAATAAATAAATAAAAAATTAAGGGTCTCAATTTCAACTTTGTGATCCAATTTTTATTTTCTTTTCTCTTTCGCGTTCCACAAAATGTCGAGTAAAACATGGGAATTACTCGAGGGCAATTTATGTACCTTTCCTTTTGTCCTTTTCTTTTTCACAAGATATTGACAACACATGGAAATTGCTCGAGACAATATAATTAGATCTATTTTTAATGGTACAATGTACACTATCAAATATGTAGCAACAACCAAAATAAATAAATAAATATATAATAATAATAATAATAATAATAATAATAAATCATTTCTAATGGTTGATTTGAGTAGTGAATCTAATGTTAACAAATGTCAAGTAATGACTGATCACTAGAGAGGAGTGAAGAATAAGGAAGGTGATAATTAAACTAATGAAAATAATTACTGTAAGTTAATTTAAAATGTGTTCCAAACATTAATGTTCATGTTTTTTATTCATTTGCTCTGAATTTTAGATCTTTTATGGATTTTATTTTATTTGTTTTGTGATTTATATACTTAATAAATAAAGTGACAAAATTATAGGACAGCGCGGAGCTATATATGTGATTGGTTGTTTGCCAAACGCTGAAAGTTAGTTGTGCAGTGACACTGTAACACCCAATTCTTGGTGGGGCAAAAGTGATATTTAAAAATTGCCTAATTAAAATTAACCAAAATAGTGTGAATATTAGGTAAATATTGGTATCTGCGTGTAATACCTAAGCAACACATCAATCTTAATTTGGTAGTCGATCACTTTCGAATTTTCAGTCCTCAACTGGGATATCCCAATATCAAAACGCAACTTTTTTTTCTTTTTTTTTTTTTTTTTCTTTCCTTTTTATGAGCACAAATATATCTTATCTTTCTAGAACATATAATATTCGTTTGAAATAAAATCATGAAAAGATCCATTGGTATTTACAACCTTTTTAAACTTTAACTAATCACATTATCCCTTCTTTCTTTCTTAATTTTCTCTTCTATTTATACTTTTACGTGTTCAATTCCAATTACTCTAATTTACACAATTGAAAATTCACTTTTACGTATCCAATTCGAACTACTCTAATTGACACTCTTCAAAATTGACATTGAAATATATTGCGTTAAGATTTAGCAAGTGAAATATATTGCATTAAAAAATTTATCTATATTTAGTTTATAAGAAAATAAAGAATACAAGTTTTATTTAAAATTAAAAGATTCAACACAACACAACAACAAAATATATAATTTCGAAACATAATTACACAACTTAAATTAGGATGACATGAACATTTACGCATAATTAATTTTAAATAACAATTCTAGCAATCTTTCAAACCACTTCCAGATACACCAAGATCTTGAAAATATTTGACATGAAAATTTATGCATAATTAATTTATAATAACAATTCTAGTAATCTCTGAAACCAATTACAGATCCGCCAATATATCTTGAAATTTTTTGACAAAATCATGACATGAAAATTTCCGCATGACTAATTTAAAATAACAATTCAAGCAATCTCCGTAACCACTTTCAGATCCGCAAAGATCTTGAAAATATTTTACAAAGACACCATGACATGAAAATTTATGCATAATTAATTTAACATAACAATTCTAGTAAATTCTCAAATCACTTCCAGACCCACCAAGATTTTAAAAATATTTGACAAAAACATCAGAAGTGTTAGGGTGTATGTGAAGATTGTCCTTCTCTTTTTATACAATTGAATAGTACTTGACAATTTTTCTTATAATAAACAATCGTTAAATAATATGTATCTTTAAATGAATNNNNAAAAAAAACAAAAAACAGAATTAATATTTCATGTAGAATAAGATGTAGAATAAATGGTTTGAGATAGAAGAATCAATTCTACTCTACTATAGAGTAAACGGCTGCAAATGCTCTTATATATAAATCACACATAACATAAATACTTTTAAATTGATTAAAAAATTGAAAAGTTTATATAAATCAAAATTCAAACAAAATATAAAAACTTTTAAATTGGATAATAAAACTAAAAAAAGAAAAAGAATAAAAAGAGAGAGAGAGAGAGAGAAAGGTAAAGGGGCCCAGATGTGGAGAATGAGAGCATGAGTAGTTGTAACAAGAGAATCTAGTGAGGAAGATCACTCTCACTATCTTTTTATTTCTTTCTCAGATTTCCTTTCGTTTTTTTTCTTTATTTTGTGCGTGTGAGTGTGTGAGAGAGAAAGAGATAGACTGTGTGTGTTTGAATGAATTGTGATATAAAGTTATAAACACAATCACGCAAAAAACATTTTTTCTGCACACGCAGATTTTTTGCTTCTCAACTACTCAATAAAGACCTACAAAACCTCTTCACAAGTCAGTCACAACACCCTCTCAAACACACACACACACACACACTTCCTCACAAACAAGAACAAATCAAAATCAAATTCAAATACAACACGATTTGATATATTATTGCAAATGGAATTGGAATCAAAAGCACAAGTTGGTAGAGATGAGAAGCAATATGAAGAAAAACACATTTTTCATGTGCTGGCTGTGGATGATAGTCTTATTGACAGGAAGCTCTTAGAAAGGCTCCTCTCTGTTTCTTCATACCAAGGTATATATATATATATATATATATATATTATGATTTTTATTTGTTTTTCTTAAATAATGTATCATGGGTTTAAATTTAATATATTAGTGACAATAAATATTATGAAATATATGCAGTGACCTGTGTGGACTCTGGAGATAAAGCCTTGGAATATCTGGGTTTGCTGGGAAATATTGAAGAAGAAAATATTGAAGAGAATGAAATTAAAATATCACCAACATCTTGCCACACAGTCATTTCTTGTGATGAGCCTCCATCCAATAAGTCCTCATCTCACCAAGAGGTAATTGATTAGAAAAAAAATAGGATTTTATATTTGTTATACATTTTACCATTTGTGTTGGGTGATTTAGAATCAAAGATAAAATTGGGCACTAGAAATTTGAGTTCTTGATAAATATTGACATTCTAATTCAAATTTCCTTAGTCTTGAACTCATGAAATTCAATATGATTTATTTTTTATTACAATTTAAGGTCAAATAGAATAAATAACTTTAGTTTTTAAAATTAATTTAAAAATAAAATCACAGCGGTTTATTGTGTTCTCCTTTGTCATAAATGTTCTTCAATAACAATTTTTAAATGGAATCAATAAACTATAGTTGAAATATTAATTTGCTGAATAAAGTCACAAAGGTGCCAATTCCCTTTATTATTATTATTATTATTTTTTTTTTTTTGAAAGGTTGTCTCCACAATTGAAATGAAAAACACGCAGTTAATTTACCAAAAATAGGAAAAAAGTTAATTTACCTAAAAGCTGTTTTTTTGTTTTAGGATTTGTCTACCGTCTCTTCACGAAATAATTTCGTGAGGGATTTTAGCCATCACATAAAATAATTGTAGACAATAATTATATATCTGATGCCTAAAATCCCACACGGAATCATTCGTGACAAAGAATTGCAGACAAATCCTTTGTTTTATACTATCAAAGATTAATATGCTACAGTAAATTTCATGTTCAACGTTTGACTTGAAAAAATCACTCTCTATAACTTTCTTTTAAACATTATTAAAAATTAGAGAAAAACAAAATGTATCTCTAGTTAAGCTATATAATCTGACTGGGGCTAATATATTAGATAAAAACTGATTGCAGGTATCAAAAGTTAATCTGATCATGACGGATTACAGCATGCCAGGAATAAGTGGTTACGATTTGCTGAAAAAAATCAAGGTAATTAATGATGTATTTAATTAGCTCCTCCTAATTCAATAAGAAGGTCTAATTAGTAATTATGCATCATCAGATTAATTAATTGCGAGCTAGTCTAGTTAATCAATTATGTGTTGTTTTACTTTTTTTTTTTACCCTCTAAAAATGGTCTTTCGTACAGGATTCGTCTTGGAAAGATGTACCAGTGGTGGTTATGTCGTCCGAGAATGTACCGTCAAGAATCAACATGTATGCAGACTTAATCCCTATTTTAATTAATCGTGTCCTTATAAATTATTTTGTTAATCAGTAATTAGGGTACAATTGGATATTTTAGAAGTCGTTACCTCATACACCATAAAAAACAATATTTATATTTTTTTTCTCTTCACTCCATTCACGTTATTTTATACAATCTTTAAATTAAAAATCAATCATTAACACATAATTATTTATATAATTCGATATTCATTCACTTATATTTATAATTACTAGTTGTTATTTTATTATTCATCATTCACTCTATCATTAATTATTTTCTGTAATAACGCATAACTTTACATCGAACTAATTATTAATTCTCTCGCAACATTTATTTTGTCAATGAAAATTTTTACCTCAAATATTGAAAGCATATATCCAATGTAGGCCCAGCTCATCCGCTTGACGGACTGAGTTGGGCCTGCCAGCCCAATCATTTTGACCAATAGTAACAAACTCATAATTTTTTTTAGAATAAAGGGAAGTAAATTTATATTTATAAATTTAATTACTCCACTGGAAAAAAATAAAGAAGAACAGAAAATCAATTAATTGTTGGTCTGATTATTATTACTAAATCAATTAGGTGCTTGGAAGGAGGAGCAGAAGAGTTTCTTCTAAAGCCCGTGAAGCTCTCAGATTTAAGCAAACTTCACTCTCACATCCTTAAAGGCACCATTACCCAAAACCTCGAAAGCCACATAAACACAGCTGAAGAAAATTCGAGCGATGAGAAAAGCACAACTGATGAAAGTGTTAGTGAGGAAGAAGATAAGGAAAACGATAAGAACAGCAGCAACGCTAACAAGAGAAAGGGAGCTGTGAAGACGCCTCCGGATCTTACGGACAGAAGGCCACGTGTCAAAGAACTGCCTGTTTCCGAGATAATAATACTATGATGTGCTGCTTGCTATATATGCATGTTAATTAGCTAGTAATATTTTTATTTTTTGGTCTTTTTG